CCAGGGCCTGTCAGAGGTCACCTAGGACCATGGGATCCAGGGTCAGTGAGAGGTCACCTAGAACCACGGGATCCAGGGTCAGTCAGGGGTCACCTATGACCACAGGATCGGCAGCCAGTCAGGGGTCCCTAGGGCTGCAGCTCTGTCACTGTCCAGCTGAGGACCTCAGAATAATGCCAGCCCATCACATTTACAGGTGCCCATGAAGTCTGAGAAGGCCTGTGCCATCAGCCTCAGTGAGCCACGGGACCCCAGGAGGTAGGTGCCTGGATCCTCCAGGCTCAGAGCCACACAGCCATCAGCATCTGGCGCGGGGTTTGAACCCAGGTCTTCTGATTCTCCCTTAGGCCCAATTCTCTTTGTGGGCACTCCATCCCCCAGGGCTGATCTCCACCTGGGCACTTTGTGTAAGCTACTCGAGCGTCCCTCTTACCTGCCCCATTGTTCTCTCCCAGCCACAGCCCTGCAGGCCCTGGCACCGACTCTGGGAGGCCCAACTGCGATGTGCTGGGCCAGCCACAGAGCCTCTGCTTGCCTCAGTTTCTTCCTTTGTCAGATGGGGGCAGTCGTAATGCCAACCTCACAGTGCTGCTGGGAGGTTCAAATGGAGTGGTGTTTGTGAAGTGCTTGGCCAGCCTCAGAGCAGGGAGAAGTTTCTTTCATTAATGTGCTCCAGCCTTAAGCCTCCACCCAAGCACCAGGTGAGGCTGCCAAAGGGGAGGGCCTGACAGGGCTCCCTTCCCGGCCACGTGGGCCTGCTCACCATCCCTCCCCGCTCTCGGCCAAGGCACTGACTCCCTCCCTTCCGTCGTCCCCTCTCTGTCTCGGCTTTCAGGATTCAGGTCAGGTCTGCCAGCATTTATTAAGTGATTGCCCTGTGCCAAGTGCTGGCAGTGTCACCGGCCTGGGTCAAAGCGGCAGGGCCAGGGGAAGGCTTTGTACAGAGACATGAGAGCTGTGTTGTGGGGGCTGGCCCCCCAGGAGCCAAGGTCAGAGCTGACAGAGGCTGTGGTCTTGGAGAGATGCACCCCCTTCTCCTCTCCTAGGAGACTGAAGCACACGAGGAGGGGATAAGGCCATGTGGAAGAGAGGAAAGCCAGCTGAGGAGGAGAGAGGCATTGGGAACTTGAGGAAAGAGGGCAAGTTTCGGGGTTTGGAGGCAGGAGATTCAGGCAGATGGTTACAGAGACTGGGTGAGGCAGACCAGGTCCTTGGGCTAATAACGGGTGTTTGTAGTGGACCCAGGCAGCGAAGGTTCACGATTTTCCTCAGGGGCACGAACGGGAGCAGCTGGCGCTGACGAAGGCAGCGGGGCTGAGGTGTATTCGGACACTTTCAAAGCTCAGCTCTGGGCCCCTCACCTGCCAGGGTCCTTTCTGGATCATCCAGGCCAAGGGAAAGGGGGGGATGAGGAAGAGTAAATTAAGGGAGGGTTGAATCTTAAGTAAAACAAACTCTAAGAAGAGTTGATTCTGAAGAGAGGCCTAAAAGAAAAGAAAGAAATGATAAGAATTTGTTGCAGTGGAGCCGAAGGAGGTTCCAGACCTCTTAGAGCGCACTCACCCTTTTTATAAAGAGGAGAAAGAAAACAAATGGAAGGAAAAGTACAAGAGAATGGGATAAAGGGAATTTAGCAATTAATCATTAGTGTGAATGGGATGCATTCACCCCTAAAATGGAAGAATGGATTTGAAAGCAGAATCCAACAATATGTTGTTTACAAGAAACACTTGAAACAAAAAGACATAATTAAAATAAAGGGCTGGAAAAGAATATACTATGCTTCAGCTGAAGTATAGGCAAGTGTAGGCAATATCACGATCTCAGACAAAGCAATAGTAAAACTGGACTTTAAAAGAAAAACAGGGAATACACACACCCCAAATGATACAACATATAGGAACAGTTAAATGTGTTATAGGAAGAAATAGTAAAACTGTAATAGTGGGGGCTTCTGTTTACCCCTTCACACCTATATTAATCTAACCAAAAGAAGCAAAGAACCTAAATAGGATTTTAGAAGAATTTTATGTGATAGACCTCTAGGGGTTGTAAAATGGAAATAGAAAGGATTGTACTTATTTAGCAGCTGTATGTAGCGCCTTTACAAAAAATGACCATGTAATAGGGCATAAAAACCTCAAAAACATGCAGAAGAGCTAAAATATTAAATGTACCTGTTTTATAGACCACAATACAATAAAAATTCAGGAAATTTCCCCTGAAGAAACAATTAAAAATTAGACGGAGACTAAATAACTTAAACCTAAAGAATTGGCAATTCAAAGAACAAATAGAAACTGATCTTTAAAAATTACAACAATGAGAAGACATAGCACAATTTTCAGGATGCGGTCAGTCATCCTTGGAGGAAATTGTATGTATGTCTCTAAACACTTTGATTGGTAAAAGAGCTGATCAATGAATTGGACAGTGCAGTTAACAAAAATCTAGAAAACCAACAGATTTTAAGGTCTCCAAATAAACATCAAAGTAGAAATTCTAAATATCAAAAAAGAGATTAATAAAATTGAAAGCCAAAAAAATTAATAACACTAGTAGCTTTTAAAAAGATTGATAAATCATTAAAAGAGAAGAAAACCAAATTAGCCAGCATCAAAAGAGAGGAAGATAAATTCACAACCAATAAATAATAGGAATTTTGCCCAATTTTATGTCAATAAAACTAAATGAAGTGAATGAATATATTTGTAAAAATATCAAATGTCCGTATTAAAAGAACAAAAAAAAAATAGAGGACCTCACTCAGGTTCAGAAAAAGAAATCGAACAAACCATAAATGGACTCCCAAGCCATAAAAAAACTCCCAGATCAGATGGATTTGCATGCAAATTCTATCATATATTTAAGGAATGATTAATTTCATTATTACATAAACTCTTTGAAAAAATGAGAAAAGGAGTCCTGCCAAATTCTTACTATGGTACAGATATGGTCTTGACACATACACTAGGGAGTCAAAACAAAGAAAGAAAAAATATAAGCCAATGTCCCTAATGAATACGAATTTTTTTTTAAAAACATTTTCAATCAGTTATTTGCAAGAAAAGTAAAGAAACATATCAAAAGATTGTACACTATTAACAGATTGGAATTTTACTAGGAATAAAGGGCTAGATAAATATTAGGGAAACAGTAAACATAATTGACACTGTTAGTAATTACAAAAATTATTTTATCAATAGATGCAGAAAAAACATTTGACAAGATGAAACACCCATTCCTGTTAAAAACACTAAAAGCATAGGAATAAATAGATCTTTCCTTAATGTAGGTATTATCTCTCTAAAACCAAGAGCCGGCATTATCTGTAAAGGAGTTAAGCTGAAGATCTTTCTGGTAAGATCGTGGCGAAAGCAAGGATCTCCATTGTCACCATTACTATTCAGTGTAATGCTGGAAATACTAGTTAAAGCAATGTTGTTGTTATTGGGTCCAACTTTCTATGACGCCATTTGGGATTTTCTTGGCAGAGATACTGGAGGGATTTGCCATTTCCTTCTCCAGCTCATTTTACAGATGAGGAAACTGAGGCAAACAGGGTGAAGTGACTTGCCCAGAGTCACACAGCTAGGAAGTGTCTGAGGCCAGATTTGACCTCAGTCTTCCTGACTCCAGGCCAGGCATTCTATCCACTGTGTCACTTAGCTGCCAGTTAAAGCAGTAAGATGAGACAAATAAATTGAGGGAATAAGCATAGGCAAGTAACAAAATTATCACTTTTTGCAAATCATATGACAGTTTACTTAGCAAACTCCAGAGGGTCAACTAAAAGCTAATTGAAACAACTTCCCCAAAATTGCAAAATATAAAATAAGCCCAAACAAGTCATTGGCATTTCTACATATTACCATCAAATTCCAGCAGGAAGAGAAAGAGGATGCATTTAAAACTGCAAAAGAAAATAGAACAAAATGTTTGAGATTGTAACTGATAAGATGCTTTAACTATCTGACCACAATGACAAAACACTTTACACAAATAAAGACTTGGGATCTAAATAACTGAAGAGATATTACTTGCTCGTGGGTAAGCCCAGCCAGCATAATAAAAATGATAATACTACCTAAATTAATTTATAGAGCTACAAAAAATACTAACAGCATTCATCTGGAAGGATAAAAAGTCAAGAATCTCAAGGGAAATAATGGAGGGAGGGCAGTGAGGTGGGAAGGAAGGGGTCCTAGGAGTACAGCGTCTCAAACTACACTTCAAAGCAGCAATCATCAAACACTTTGGTACTGCTTAAGAAATGTAGAGGTTGATCAGATTAGGCGTCCAGTACGTAGAACCAAACAAGCACAGTAATGTACTGTTTGACAAACCAAAGATCCCATCCACTGGGGCGAGAACTGACCATCTGAAAAAACTTGGGAAAATAGTTAGGCAGAAACTGGGTGTAGACCAATAGTGACTCACCGCATATAGCAAGGTGAGCTCCAAATGGGGACATGGTTAAGCCATTCAGCATGCTCTGACAGACAGTTTGGAAGAGCAAGGAAATTACTCATCAGATCTATGGTAGGGAAAAGGAAACGAGAAGACGAGTTAGATTCACGGGAGGTAAAATGGACAATATTGATTACATAAAACTGAAAGGTTTTTGAACAAAACTAATGCAGCTAAAGTTAGAAGAGAAGCGGGTGAATGGATAAGTCTTTGCCACTTGCTTCTCCTTTCAAAGCATATAGGAAATGGATTCGAATTTGAGATGAAGAGCCATTCCCCAATTGACAAATGGTCAAAGGCCATGAAGAGGCAGTTTTCAGAGGAGGAAATGCAAGCTGTCCCTGTCCATAAGAAAAAACGCTCTCCATCGCCAGTAAGTAGAGAGATGAGAGCTAGTACACTTCTGAGGCGTCGTCTCCCACCCGTCAGGCTTCAGAGAGCTGGCAACAAAGGAAGTTGATGAAGCTGCAGAAAAACAGGTCTGTTAGTGCATTTTTAGAGCTACGAACTGCTCCAGCTCTTCTGGAAAGCAATTTGGAACTCTCCTCCAGAGCTATTAAACTGGGCCTATTGGGTATGTCCTTTGACCCAGCAGTACCACTGCTAAGTGGTCACTGGGCGGTGCGGATGAGACAGGGATGCTAGACGGTACCCCTGACCAGTGATGACCCAAAGTCTGCTGAAAACCGACATGGGGGAAGGACTGGAGAAGCCGATGTGTATGTCCAGCCTTGCAGAGCTTCCAAAGGAATGTCTGTGTTTACACACGAGTAGACACACACATACACAGAGGTCGGAAGAGGAACGGGCCCCATGTTTGCAAAATGTTTATGGTCCCTCATTTTGTTGGCAAAGAATTGGAGACTGAGGGGACGTCCATCAATTGGGGAATGGCTGAGCCAGTTAGGTAGACGAGTGTTATCCTGTAAGAATGATGAATGCAGTGGTTTCAGAGGAGCTCCCTTCTTTGAGCTGTTGCAGAGTAAAGTCAGAAGACCCTGGAGAACATTTTGTACAGTCCCGATATCGTGGAGACAAAAACCTTGAAAGACTTAGGAGCTCTCATCCATGCAGTGAGCTGCAAGATTCCCGAAGTCTGAAGGAGCGCGCTCCCCACTTCTGATAGGGAGGTGACAGATTCAGGGCACAGATGGAGACTTATCATTTTAGTCTTAGAGCTGGAATGTGTTTTGCTTGACTCTGTGTTTGTCGGGGGTGGGGAGGAGCAGAAAGTGGGAGGGAGGGAAGGCAGATTTTCATTTGAAAAAACCATTAAAAGCAAACATGCCTCTAGGTTGTGTGACCCAGGAGCCGCTCCCTTCTCCCAGAGAGGATACAGCCGAGGAGGAGCAGCTCGCCTAGAGTGAGTCTGTTTGTGTGTATGCGTAGCAGTGCTGGACGTACGGGTCTGTTTCTCCGGCCCTTCCCTCATGCTGGTTTTCTGTAGACTTGGGTCATCACTAGTTAGGGGTGTTGTCTCATCGGCACCTCCCAGTGACCTTGGAAAGGAAGTGTGGCCAGTAGGGTGGTCTCCACTTGACCTTGGGGTTAGAGTGATGTAGTGACTGGCCCAGGGTCATGTGGTCAGTGCAGTTTCAAGCACAGGAGCCTTCCTGACTCCAAGTCCAGTGTTCTACCCACCAGGCTTCCCTCTGGGGTCAGTTTTCTCATTGGTGAAGTGGAGGGTTTAGAATTTTACTGAGGTCCCTTCCAGCTCTAAATCTGCAGTATTCTGATACTGTTAACTTAGGTCAGCTCTGATGAAGTGTCCGTTCCCTCAGACATCCTCAGTGAAGCCATACTTTGGCAAATGCGTCTGTCGCTCGTGACTTCCTGTCACCTCCAGGAGCGGGTGTAAAAGGCTCTGTTTGGGGTTCAGAGCCCTTCCTACGCTGACCCCCTCCTGCCTTTCCAGTTTCTTGATACCTTATTTCCCACCATGTTCTCTTCGACCCAGTGACCCTGGCCTCCGGGCTCTTCCACAAACAAGACCCTCCATCTCTGGGCTCCGGACCCTCTCTTTGGTTGGGCCCCATGCGTGGAAGGCTCTCCCTGCCCTCCCAAGTCACATCCCCCTTCTACAGGAAGCCTTGTGCAGGCCCCTTCACTTGGTGCCTTCCCTCCTCTGTGTCTCATCTGTGCCTTATCAGCCAGTTAGCTCCCCCTTCACACTGAGAGCTCCTCAAGAGCACCGGGCCTGGCACATGGTGAGCATTTAGTTAATATTTGTTGATTTGACTTCAGCCACAGTTAGTTTTTTTTTTTCTTTTGGGCTAGGCAGTGGGGTTAAGTGACTCGCCCAGGTTCACACAGCTAGTAAGTGTTGTATCTGAGGCCAGATTTGAACTCAGGTCCTCCTGACACCAGGGCTGGTGCTCTATCCACTGCACCACCTAGCTGCCCCTTTTTCCCTTTCTTTTTTTGTTTTGTTTTGTTTTGTTTTTTTGCTTTTTGGTGAGGCAGTTGGGGTTAAGTGACTTGCCCAGGGTCACACAGCTAGTAAGTATCAAGTGTCTGAGGCCAGATTTGAACTCAGGTCCTCCTGACTCCAAGGCCAGAGCTCTATCCACTGTGCCACCTAGCTGCCCCCCAGTAAGCATTTTAACAAGCATTTATTAAGCTCCTGCTGCATGCTGTGCATTGCCTCTTGGTTTCCTTCCAGGGAAGGAAGTTTCCTCACACTTGCCTCTCTGAGGGTGTGGTAGATGTGGCCCCACAAATGTCCAGCAGCTTCCCCCATCCACTGATCCCCACCAGTGTCTAGTGGCATTTGTCAGCAGCCCTGGGGCTGTCCATCAGCTCTCCTTCCTTCTCACTAGCTGGCTGGCTGATCTCTTCCAACCATATCTTTTACATGCAGGAGGCACGCACTGAGAAGGACCTGGTGGGGAGGGAGCCAGCTTCAGAGTCAGGACGGTGAGGCTGCCGTCCTCCCTCTCACGCACGCCGGCTGCTGACCTGACGTCTCTTGGAGCATGCACTTCAGAGCAGGTGCCAGCCTGGTTTGGTACAGGGGGGTCCCTGCTCATGCCTAGGTCGCCGCTGCTAACAGCCTCCATGACTCCTTCATAAGCATGATCCTAGGGCAGCCCAGGGAGCCTCTGATGGTGTTTGTGGCCTGGTATCCCCAGGAGAACTGGGGTATTGATGGGGCGGCCTGGCTTCTTGGCAGGAAACAGTGGGAATTGTTGAAATGATAAACATTCATCTGACTTTGCACACTTTTTCAACTTAAAGTAAATTAAAACAAACCCACAAATGAGCTAATGAGCTCTCTTAGTCGTGGATCCAGTCACTGGCTGTTTGCTCACATAGACCTGACTCGATTTACCCCTGGGCTCCATCAGGGCTAAGGGGATTGTGGCTTTGGCTTCTTTTCTTGCAGATCCAGGAAAACCTGAATTAACAGGACAACATAGATTAAAAATGTGCTTCTATACACACGACACATTTGTGAAAGGACATCAGCTTTGCCTCTGAAAAGTGTGTTATTGAAGCAAAAGTACTTTTTCTTAAAAAAAAAAAAAAGGATCTCAGGATTCTGGAAGGAAGGCTCAGTAGTTGGTGATAATGCGAAGACTTGTCTGCAGTGTTTTCCCTGAATTTTCCATTAGAGATACCATTGGGGTATCAGGAAAAACAGCCTAGTACATCAGTAAAGAAAAAGCTTATTTTGCACTACGGGGTTGAGTTTTAAAAAATGTTTGATTCCATAAATAAAACCCTTTTCTATGTGAAGCCCCTTCTTTCACCTTGAAGAATGTCAATTCAGTTACAAGGATTAGCTAAAGGACCTAGAATCACAAGATTTAGTTCTGAAAGCAGTTTAGAGGTCATTTAACTGCTCATACTAGCGCGTAGAATGTTAAGGTTTGCAAACTGCTTTATAGATGCTGTCCCATTTGATAGTCACAACAGCCCTGTGGGGGAGACCTTGTTATTATCCCCTTATTACACATGAGGAAACTGAGGCTAAGGGGTTAAGTGACTGAGCCAGGGTGTCCAACTAAGTCTGGCTCTAGGGCAGTATTTGGATATGCATCTTCATGACTCCATGCCTGCACCATTGGCTCACTTTAAGCTAAGTGCCGTCTGTGTGCAATGATGCTCTTCCAGCTTGTAGAGAGAATCCCGTGGGCTCTCAACCGCTTTTGTGTCTGGACCCCTTTGGGGGAGGGGGCTCCCGAGCCTTTTCGAATACTCGGGTCAGTTGTTTTCTGTTCCCAGAAGCCTAGGCAGACCCCCCCTCCATGACTTTGTGTCCATTTTGTGTTTACTTTTCTACCTGTTGTTTCTCCCCAAAAGGAGATAGACTCCTTGTGGGCAGGACTGTTTTATCTTTCGCAGTATCTGGCACAATACAAACTTAAGTTCTTGGTAAATGACAATCATCTGGCCTAATCTGTGCATTTTTGTTTTTAACACATGGGAAAACTGAGTCCCCGAGAAGCTCAGGTGATTTGGCAAGTGTCTTTCAGTGGTTTCGTGGCATAGTCCAGCACTCAGGACGATGATCTGCCCTTTCTAGCCATTGCAAGGGAACAAGCCAAGGACTTGACATTGGTGAATAAAGGAGAGAGAGGGGAGCAGGGATGAAGCAGGCTGCAGTGCAGAAGGATATGGAAGGGTCAGAGAAGACGAAAACAAGACAGAAACCAGACAAAACAAAGAGTTTGAACGAAAGGCCAGAAAACAGGCCTTTCTTGCTCAGGCACGGAGAGGGGCTGAAAAGGCAGTGCAGGTCGGACAGTTTGAGACCCAGCTCAGCGCGGACGCAGTCGGGCGCCAGCAGACGATTTCCGTGGGAATTGGACCTTTCAGCTGAAGTGCATCCTAAAATTAGGGGATTACTTGAGCATGCCCTGGATGAAATTCTGTTCAAACTGCAAATGCCAGGCTGTACACTTACGTCCCCATTTCCTTGGGCCGTTAGGATTGTGAGAGGCTTTGCCAGTAGTTTTTGGTTGAGACACATTCTGGGTAACTCTGTGAAATTATTAGATGCTCCACATCTCCCTGAAGCACCTGTCTCTGTTTCTAGCTGCTTTACCATGAAGATAGTTGCTTTGTTGCTTGGATTCCAAGGAGCAGCTGTTCAGTCCGGGTCAGGTTGTTCACGAGGGGTCCTCGAAACACTGCACTATTGCCTGCTGAGCTGCCACACTGGGGAGTGGTAGGATTCCTGCTTGGGTCAGCGTTGCCATCCTGTTGATGGGGCAGTAATGGGTAGGGAAAGGACATGTTATCGATGCCCGGCCAGCACTCTGGCTGCAGAGGGTGAGAGGGTCAGGGCCGTGACACTTGTGACGTGTCACTCCCCTAGGCTCAGGATCCTTCGTGGACCGTCTCTAGGCACAGTGGGGTCTGTCCTAGGGCTTTTCCCTGCAGTGCTTCAGTTATGTGGGGGATTTTTCAAAAGCTGTGAACGTGCCTCAATAATGCGGGGAGCTCCTGTAGCCCCTTCCCTTGGAAAGAGCCCGGTCTGAACTGTGTGAGCCTTATCTGAGGCCACCTGCACGCTTCTGGTCAGCCTTATCAGTGATGCAGCCACCCAGGGAAGGGCCCGAGCTGCTCCCTGCTTACTCACTGCCAGGAACGGGCAGGCACTTCCCCAGGTCCCCTGATGAGCTGCTCTCTGCTTGGCTGGCCTGATCTCATTAGGATCCATTTCCTTTCTTCCTCGCAGCCTTTGCTAAGGGCCAGCTGGTAAAAAATGAAGGTTCTGTTGCTAAAAGATCCTAAGGATGATGACTCGGGCCAGGATCCCTATATTCAGGTAAGATGCAGACAGTTACATGGGACCCCTAGGCACCCAGGCTTGCCTTCATTGCTCTTCCCTTCCGGGCCTTCGATCAGGCTGGGGGAGGCAGCGTCACCTTCCGAAGTGAGGTTCTGGGGCCCTGCCTTTGTTTTTAAGACAACTCTCAGGCCTTCAGTGTTTGTACGTCTTTGTTCCCCCAGGAATTGGGGTCACGTGGATTTGAAGCCACTTTGATACCTGTTTTATCCTTTGAGTTTTTGTCTCTGCAAAGTTTCTCCGAGAAGGTAAGGCCAAATACTCTTCTCTGTCAGTGCTGGAGTCTGTCCTTCCAGGACGGGTTGCCTAGGGCGGGCAGGTGACGAGCTAGGTCTGGGACGGGCTGTTATCGGATGTGAAGCAGTTGTCAGGGCCTTGGCCGAAGCAGCTGACAAACGGTCACGTCCCACGGTGGCTGCCGTGTTGCACTCCCGTGGGATGCCAGCCCTCTCCCTCAAGTAGGGAAGAGTGCTCCATTCTAGCCTTCGGACCCCAAGGGGTCATTGCAGCTAGTCTGGATTCAGACTTCTTCCTTGCTGGCTTCACTGCCAGCGTCGCGGTCGTTGCGGTTTATGTAAGTCTTCCCAAACTCCTTGGAATTTGTCTTCTTGGTCTATGGAGACAGTTCATGGACCGTGGTCTATTCGGCCATCCCCTAAGCACTGGGCACCCTTTATCGCCCCTCTGTGCTACCACCAAAGCGCTGCTCTGCATGATCTGGCCTCCAGGGTGTCCCAGAAGTTGTGGTGGGGTGTCCTGGCCGTTTCTGTTCTCCATCGGCCCCTTTGTGGGGCCTTGTGGCCATAGAGCCATTTTTCTCACAGAATTCCAAACGACAGGACATAGTTAAGTTACTTTGAAGGCTGAATGCGCTCTGTAATTGCTAGCTATCGTCATTGGGTTTGTGCGTACGTGTTCCCTGTAGAATAAAGCACCGTGAGGGGCAGGATGACTTGTTTGCTGTCATTTCACCCACCCGAGCCTAGTACAGTGTTAGGCACACCATAGGTGCTTAATAAGTGTGCGCTGACTCTTAATGAGGTGTTTTGTGTGCGGGCAGCTCTGTCATCCGGAGGCTTACGGGGGACTCGTTTTCACCAGTCCCCGTGCCGTGGAAGCCATGGAACTGTGCCTGGAAAGGGACAACAAGCAGGAAGGTGAGTGTAGGCTGGGGGGCTTTTGGTCGGCTCCTAACCTCATCTCAAGAAGCCGAAAGGTGTGAATTCCCTGATTGCGTCGAGCTGATGGGACTAACCTGAGATGGTGAAAACGCCCCCTCCGGGACCCTCTGTTTCCTGACTGCCTCCTTCCCCCTCAGGTGAGTGGGACCCAGCCTCGCCACGGCAGGTCCTGAGCTTGGCTCCCCCCACTCACCCACGACCATTTATGTACCACCTGAATGCTTGCAAAACTCTTTACAGACATACTGCCTTTGATCTCCACAACCACCCTGCCAGGGAGGGACTGTTCTTGTACCCATTTTACAGATGGGGAAACTGAGGCAACCGGGATTAAGTGACTTGTCCAGGGTCCCACAGCTAGTAAGTGTTTGAGGCTGGATTTGAACTCAGGTCTTCCTGACTCTAAACCCAGGGAAGCAGGGTGTGCAGCTTCCAGGAGGCACCACCGATGCCAGGTAGACACCAGTGGGGCAGAGTTGCTCTCAGCCAGCTATGGGGGAAGGGCGTGTCCAGGTGAGCGGCTGGATTCACCATGTCAGGCTTGTTCTCCCGGCTGCGCGAGGAATTCACTCCCCTCACGATACAGTGTTGGAACAGTTGGGGGGTGGGCACCCCTGGACTCCTCCCTTCTCACTAACATGGGTAGAGCCAACACTTTTCTCCCCTTGGGTTATAAGACTGCCTTAAACCTGTTTGGAGTCTGAAAATCACCCACTTGGAGATGACACCAAGAGCTCGTTGGCTAAAGAAAAAGCTGGTGCCCCTGGCTTTGTGTGTGGACGGAGCCCTGGGCCTGGACCTAGAGGACCTGGCTTTGCCTCTCTCTCCCATGGCCAAGACCCTTTACGTCTCTGGGCCTCAGTTTCCCTCCTGTAAAGTCAAGGTCAAACTAGATGCTCTCTGAGGTCCCTCTTGGACCATGTTCTGTGTCCCCGTGGTTCACATGGGGAGCTACTCCATCAGAGAAGCTGGCTTCAGATCCTGGTTCTGCCCTTTACCGGCCATGTGACCTGGGCCACTCACTGACCCTCTGAGCCTCGTACTCTTCGTCAGTGAAATGCAGGGTCTACACTGCGAAAGCCCCTGCCAGCCCGGACATTCTGTGATTTGTGAAGAGGCCCCCAGAATAAGATTTGAGGCTCCTTGACTGTCGCCCCAGAAATGCCCTCTTTTAAGACCGGGAGAGAAGTCACCAAGGGGATTTCCCCAGACCCCCGAGATTTAGTTACGGAGTAGAGCTTGTCCCTGCCGGCCAAGGGTGCTGGAGAACCTGTCGGGTTCAGAGTCACCTACTTGCTTGTGCAGACGCACCTACTGGCCAGGGGCAGTCAGCTGATAAAGTCACTTGGCTACCTGTGCCTTGTGGCTTTCCCAGGGTGCATTCCTAGTTGGCAAACAGTGCGGGGTTCCCCTCCTATGACCAGGGATGGCCGAGGTTCTCTCTAAAAATGAGCCGGCAGCCTCAGTCTTTGGAGGAGAAAGGGGTTCCCAGGAAGACCCCAGCACCCTTCGCTCTCCCAGTTTGGGCTCAGCCTCTTCGGGGCTCTTCTCCGTGAAGGCCCGCCGCCATAGGGTCTGGCCAGTAACTCTGCGTGTGTGCAGCGCGCTTTCTGTTTGGGCTGTTTGCACAGTGCGCAGAGGTGCTTCTGGAGTCCCAATGGCGTTGGGAACAAGAACATGATGCTTCTTTGCCCTTCCATTTACAGAGAAGTCATTTGGAAACTGCTCTTGTCTGTCCCCTGAACAGAATCAGCTGCGTTGTTTTATTGGATCCTTAAGCAGCGTTTTATGACCCAGGGCTTTCCTTCTCTTCCTCTCAAGATCCCAATTTTCAGTCATCACATCACTATGCAAATTAGGACCCAATGTTGTGTTTGTTTTCCAGGGACACATAAAAAATGCGTTTAGTGCAGGCAGAAGAAGCAGTTCGTGTTTCAAGCAAAGCACCTCAAAGCAGTCCCCAGATCTGATTTGTGTTGCTGCCTGAAGAGCTGGCGTTGGCTCCCACTCTCAGTTCTCTGCCTAAAAATGGTTTTTGCTTTTGTTTCTAAGACAAACTTTGATATTTCAGTTTCTAAGACAAACTCCTGGATCGTTCAAAAGAAACAAAACAGCCCTGTGGGGCAGAGATCCAAGCAGCCACGCTGGTGTTCACAGTTCATTGCTAAATGCTTGCTTTTAATTAACTGTTTTTCAGTCTGGAAAAAGTCTCTGAAAGAAAAATGGCACGTCAAGCCAGCGTATGTGGTTGGCCAAGCCACCGCCTCCCTCGGTGAGTGTGAAAAGAAATCCTGGAGGAGGCTGTGGCCTGCAGCTTCCTGAGGAAGCCAGGACACAATCCAGCTTCCACGGCATTCAGAGGGCAGGGGCTGCCAGACAGCCGAGGAAGGCTCCTGCCCACTTAAGTCAAGTTTAGCAGGCCCCTGAACCCCTGGGGCTGGTAGACCTTGCCCGTGGCCCTGCCACGCTCACGAGGACCCCCACCAGTGCCCGGTAGTGGAGGGAGCACCACATGTGCCGTCAGAGGGCTCGGCTCCCGTGCTCTCTCTGCCCCTTTCTCTCTGTGACCCCAGGTCTCAGGTGAAGGGGCTTGGCCTGAGTGGCCTCGAAGGCCCTGCCAGCTCTAAGTGAATGAGGCTGGTCCTCAGACCTCCATCCGTTCCCCAGACGTGTACCTGCTGGGCCTCGGAGAGCCCTGGCTGACCACTGAGTGGGGAGGAGGCACCAAGGAAGGAGGGGACACAGGGACCAGGCTCAGACGGCCTGAGCAGAGGGGCCTGGTGGTGGTGGGGGGGGGGCCACCACTCACTAGGGGCTTCACAAATGCCTCCGATTGCCTGCCCTTCGTCCGCGAGCAGACATGGAGGTTCATCAGCCTCTCCTGAGTCCAATATGGCCCCAGACCCTGCTACCTAAACGAGCTCTGTCACTGGAGAAAGCATGCAGCTGAAGGAGAGTTTTTGTCTTTTGACTCAGCACATTTTTAATGATCTGTAAATTACAAGTTGACAGCGTTTAAATTAAAGTCTCAGTTTGCTGGGTCCGGCTCGAGTGAATCAGAAACTGGGTTTGCCTGGCAAATCTCTGAGAAGGGCCACATTCCTCCCCCCCACCAAGGGGGAATCCCTCTGTGCTGCAGCCCCTTGCTGTGTTTTTAAAACGAATGTTACTGATACCTTTTATTTTGACATCACTGTGTCGCCTCCAGCCTCCCAGCCCTGTTCCTTCCTCCTCCTAGAACAAAGAAAAATATGGACGCACCACCCCACCCCCAAACAGCGTCCTGGCCCGACAACTTGGCTGTTCTCTAGGCTCTGAATGGCTCTCAACTTGCCAGGACTCTGGCTTTCCACTTAGTGAACTTTTCATTGACCCCACTGGGGGTCTACTTACAAATAGACTGCTGTCCTTCCCAAGGTAGCTCCTGACTTCCCTTTTTTGAGATCCAGCCTCCTGTCAGTGTCTGAGAGGACGCCTCCCTGGGGTGGGGCCCTGGGGTCTGGGGCCTGGCTCTGTTCCCCTGTGAGGTTCTGATGCGGCACCAGGGCACTCACTGAAGCCCACTCTGCCAGCCCACCTCACCACACCTAACAGTTAGGCAAAGTTGTCAACTCAGGTGGCCACTTTGTAAGGGTTTCACGAAGGGGCCTTTGATGGGATCACAGGTTCAGAGGCGGGAAGGGCCCCTGCTCTTCTAGTCCAAGCCCCTCATTCAGAAGAGGAGGAAACTGAGGCCCAGAGCAGGGCCTGAGGCAGAGCTTGGGCCTGTCTCCTCTGGCTCCAGACCCAGTGAGTGCCCTTCCCCCTGGGCCACCAGGCCCGCAAACTACTTTGAACAGGCAGATCAGCACACGCGCTTCCCTAGCATCCAGGCAAAGTGCTGTCGAGAACAGAGGCCAGAAATACGTTTTTGGTTGTTTTCCAGTGAGAAAAATTGGCCTGGCTGCAGAAGGAGAAAAATGTGGAAATGGTGAGAAGCTTGCTGAATACATTTGTTCACGTAAGTAGAAAGAAATTTCTGAAGAAGACCCTGTGTTTTCACTTTGCGCCATGGTTGAGCGTCACAGAATCATTTAAAGACTGTTTTCCTCAGCCAGTGCTTGCTTTCTTTTCTTTTTTTTTTTTTTTAGGCAGTTGGGGTTAAGTGACTTGCCCAGGGTCACACAGCTATTAAGTGTCAAGTGTTTGGTCTGAGGCCGGATTTGAACTCAGGTCCTGCTGACTTCAGGGCTGGTGCCACCTAGCTGCCCCCAGCCAGTGATTTCTTTGAGCCTGCACAGAAAATGGCACAAAAAGCCGTGTTGAGTCTACTCCAAACGAGGTTATTTCTATTTACCTTCTGAGTATTCAGGCTCAGCCCCATAGCTTCTTCCAGCAAGACTCGAGATAGCTTGTGAGGTCACAGTTAGAGCAGACAGAGGAGATTGTCCCCGGCCTCCTGATCCACGAGCTCCATGTCACTCCCGACGCCGCCCCTTGGCGGTGTCTTCATGGCCTTTTCTCGGCCCATCCTGCTTGAGAACACTGTCAATCGCCCTCTTGCACTGCATTCCTGTGGCCGCTCCTCTGAGGCTGACCTCGGTGTCCCCCAGGCTCTGGCCTGGGCCCTTTTGTGCTTGGAGGGCTCCGTTCTCCTCCCACCCCTCTCCTGACTCCCAGCCCCATAGCACTCATCTGTTGGGCGCTTCACACTCTGGAAGCCCAAACCCAAACTCGCCGCCCCTCCCCCAAACCCTCCCCTCTCTTCCTGCGGAGGCTCGGCTCGCAGCCCGGCCTGGGGGTCATCCTTGTCTCCTAGCCTCCCTCCCTCAGCCCCTCCGTCCAGTTGTCAATGTGCTTGTCATTTCTCCTGGGACAGCGTCCGTCACACGCATGTCCCCTGACTGAAGCTCTGGCCCCCTTACCTGCCGACGGAGCTCAGGCCTGCTCACTCACCTGTGGGGCCCACTCCTGCAGCATCGAATGCAGAATCCTCTTTGGCTTTTAAAGCCCTTCCTGTCCTGCCCCTTCGTGCCCCTCCAGACCTTTGTCCCCTTTGGGACTCTGTGGGCCAATGACGTCTGTCTCCTGTCTCTGGGCCTCTGCCTTGCTCTCCCGAGAACCCCCCCCCCCAGCCCCTTCACTCCCTGTAGCTCCTTTCATCTCCCCCAGGGCCTTCCTCTGATAGCTAATAGCATCTCTAGAGCACTGGCAGGCTTCCCAGGGCTTTACAAAGCGGGCTGTCCCAAAAGTCTTCCTGTCCTTTGAAGGGATTAAGGCTGAAAATACACTGAGACTTTGATCCTCCCAGCAGCCCTGTGAGGGAGGTGCTTTCATTATCCCTATTTTACAGATGAGGAAACTGAGGCAGGCTGACAGCTAGGAAGCCTCTGAGGCCGCCTTTGAATTCTGGTCTTCCGTCTCCAGGCCTGGCACTCCACACATTGTGGCACCTGCTAGAGAGAGTGTGGTTGTTTGCATACTGCCTCCCCCACTGGACTAGGAGCTCCTTGAGGGCAGGGCCCATGTGTTTGCCTTTCTTGGTATCCCCAGCTCTCAGCATGCTGCCTGGTACATAGTAGGTGCTTCATAAATGCTGACACCTGATTGAGGAGTGTTCCTGTCTTGGCCTTCACTTATCTCTTGGTTTCTCAGCCAGGAGAGCAGAGCAGGGACCGTCTGTCGTCCGTCGGAAGAGGGATGAGGCAGCTGGCTGGGTGACCTGCGTGACCCTCTGGGCCTCGGTTTCTTCACTTGCCAACGAGGGGATTGGACTGGATGAGTCTGGCGGTCAGTAAGCCTCTCATGAGCCCCTGCTGTGTGCCGGGCACTGCGGGTGACCTCTGAGGTCCTCGGATGGGCAGTGAGGGTCATGTCTTTCTGTGCCCCCAGGACCAGCCCTCCTGGCAGGCTGTGCTACTTGAGCCGCTCAGGTCTCAAAGACCACCTGCTGAGGTTGGGGGGGAGGGGCTCCCTGCTCCAGGAGAGAGAAGCCACCCACCCCCCCACTGACCACATGACCAAGCCTCCAAGTATTGGAGAAAGGCCTCCTGCTGCCTCGAGGTAAAGTGCCTCCCCGTAGCTGTGGGATGATAGTTTTCAGGGCCTTTCCCACGTGGGTGTTTCTTGTGGAGCCCTCCGCCCACCTCGAGTCCTGCCCTCTGCCCAGCAGGGGCCCAATAAAGGCTTGTTGACCAGTGTTTCAGAACCCCACAGGCTACCACCTCACAGCTAGCTGACCAGCCAGGCCTCCAGGGCCACCCAGGCGGGTGTTTAATTACGAAGCACCAGCTGGGGTCGAAGCACCAGCTGGGGTCCAAGCCCTGTGCCGGACCCTGCAAGTGCCGAGCCAGGCCTGGCTTCCTTCCCAGAGACGAGGGTGACTGGTCATTGGTGCGAGGGATGAGAGTGAGGACAGTGCTGTGGGAGGCTCAAGGTCATTGCCATGGGGACCGCTTGAAAGGCTAGGAGAATGCTTCCCTGATGAGAACATAGACGGTTGTTCTCCTCTGGAGCAAGGAACTCCTTGGCACATGAGGGGCCTAGGCCTCCAGGGGGTCCCCCATCCAGTGGCACAGAGGGCAGCCTCCCCACAGCTCATCCTGAGGCTTCTTGGCTGGGTCTTTCCAGAGAGGAGCTGACCTGGCTCAGCTCAACGAGCCTGATGGAACCCCCAGCTGGGCCCAGTACTGGGCCAGCTCTCAGGGGCTCCCAGGACACCAGCTGCCACAGCCTCGTGCCTCACCACCTGACCTCCCTCTTTCTCCTCCAGCCCTGACCAAAGGCTCCCAAAGCCTCAGGGGCAGAGACATCCGTGAGAAGCGCTTAGATTCAGTGGGCCTCATGGGGCTCCAATGACCTGGATTTGGATGAGAGCCCGTTCTGGTCTGGGCCCCGTGGCCAGGTTTTGTTTTCCTTTTTCTTTTTTTTCTTTTTTTTCTTTTTTGGCTAGGCAATGTGGTTAAGTGACTTGCCCAGGGTCTTGTTATGTGTCTGAGGCCGGATTTGAACTCAGGTCCTCCTGAATCCAGGGCTGGTGCTCTATCCACTGCGCCACCTAGCTGCCTCCTCCATGGCTGGGCTTTGAAGGGTGACACCTCTGGTCTCCATCATGACCTTTCCCTCTGATTCCTGGATTCTCCATGCAAGAACACTTCCTTGATGCACAGTATAGCACGCCTTACCTTTACTTCTCCTGAGTAAAGTGTGTCCACGCTGAGGATGGGTTTCATCCCAGTGAGACCCAGGCATCCTGTGAGGGCAGATTGCCTCTTTGTCTTAGGACCTCTCGTCCCTCCTGCTTTTGGGGTATGTGTGTCTGGAAGTGTCCGACCTTTGAACTTAGGAGCATTTGTGATTCGACATTTTAGGTATTCTCTGTGTGACTGGCTTGGTGACTGTGTGTGTGTATGCATGTATATATCCACATGCAGGAGTACACATGTGCATATACACACATATATATATTTGTGTGTGTGTGTATCTAGATATAGATAAGATTGCAAGCTCCTGGAGAGCGGGTACCATCTTTTGCCTCTTTTTGTATCCCTAGCACTTAGCGTAGTGCATGGTACATAGTAGGCACTTAATAAATGTTTATTGAGGGCATGAATGAATACACACACATATATACTTTCTCCCTCCTCCATCCTTTTTTGTTTCAAGCCCTTCTGATGCGAGATTTACAAGGCACCTGGCAAATTATTCTGACCAGCTTTTGTGAGGTCCATGCCATCTCTGGCCAGGAACCTGTCATCCCCACATTTGAGGTTGTCATCCAGATTCTAGACCCCTTCTCAGATACCACCTTCCTAGCCAGTTTCCACTTCCCACGTGAGTTTGTCCCTTTTGGCCCCCTTGCTTTCAATAGACAACGCCAAAGAAAATAAACCTTTGTGCCCCTGTGGTCTGAAGGACCATTTGGGCCCACACGACGACCAGAAATGAGTTGTTGATAAGTGTTCCTCTGCTGTGTCTCGCACTCAAGCCCCAGGACAACCCCGGCCTCTTTTCTGGGGCTCAGGTTACCACGCGGCTGCCTCACTACCTCCTGGAAGGCTATGACCGACCGTGGCTACTCTCCTCTCCTTCTGACCCTTCCTGGGCAGTCTCAGGGTGGGTCACGTGCTTCTGTCTGTCCTGAGGAGGACGGCGCCCTGCCCCCTCCCCTTCAGGAAGAGCCTCAGATCAGTTTTGAGCGGCCACCCTTCTTCTTCCCTTTCTCCCCTGGATAACCTTCCCCTCTCACCATCCTGACAAGGGTCAGGGTTCCTCTCCTCACTCTCTGATCCTTCTTGTTTCTCAATGAGGCCTTGCTCCAATGTCCTTCAGGGCCCCCTTCCCCCGTCCCTACCAGCCTGACGTGTGGAGAGACGTTCTTCCACTCCCTTCACCCACACCACGAGGAAAATCAAGTCAAGACATGTCTCATCAACAAGCATTTATTAAGTGCCTGCTGTGTGCCAGGCCCTGCGCTAAGCACTCAGCATCATGAGAAAGGCAGACAGTCCCTGCCCAGAAGGAGCTTATCTTGTAACGAGGGGACAACATGTGAACAACTGTGCACGAGCAAGATAGGTACGGGAAAAGTTGGAGCTGGTAGTGAAGGGAAGGCCCTAGAGTTAGGGGGTTGGGAAAGGCTTCCTGTAGGAAGGAGGATTCTAACGAGGACTTGCCGGAGGTCCCAGGGATGAGGTAGCAGAACGTTCCACCCAAGGGGAATGACCTGTGAAAATGCCAATGGAGGGATGGAGGGAGAGGGAGGCCAGTGCCGCTGGACCTCAGAGTTTGTGGAGGGAAGGAAGGTGTTAGAAGACTGGAAGGTCTTCAGTTGGTTTTTACTCTGTGCCTAGGCACCGTGCCAAGGGACGCCCCTCAGAACCAAACCACGTAGTTATGTCAGCGCTCTGCAAGGTCGTCCTTGTGGCAGAGGGATTGGACTGGGCGTGCGCAGCCCCAGAGGCACCCTACCAGTACGGGGTACCAAGGACAGTTTCCCAGGGAAGCTGAGCTGTCCCCAAGTGTGCCGGGGTTGCTTCCAGAGGTGGTGAGTTTTCTGAAGCCTTGGCTGGATGACCACTCATTGGGGGTGTTTAAAGGGCTTTCTCCATTGGCTAAGGGTGCCCTGAGACTTCCTCTGCCTATGCTCCTGTGTGCAGAACTGGGGCTGGGCACAGACAATAAACAGATAAGCTGCGTGTTTTCCCAGACGAGACCGGCCTTGCAGCAGCCCAAGGATGCCTGCACCCCCAGCCTCCAGTGGTGTGGACGGCCTCTGCTTTGCCAAGAGCGTTCCGGGCCCGTCTCTGCTCTAGGTCTGCGATCTGGTGATTGCCTGAAGCTCCCCCCTCCTCTGGCTTCCAGACGCGGTCAGAGCCACGTGGACCCAGCAGGGACAGCTTGCCTCTGCCAGGGCATGCTTTGGAAGCAGTTCCAAGCATACGTGCGAAGGGGGCCGCCTTCATTTGGGGCACTACAGAGCATTCCTCGTTCGGGCAGTTCTCTGGTCCCTTTCTCCTCAGTCGCGTCGGCACGAGAGACTTCCGCAAGGCTGCCTCCGAGAGCTGCTTCGCTGTGGTTTTCTGGGAGAGGGGCCATGGGGGCTCCAGAGCGCTTTGGCTGCTGAGGAGGAGCTGCCGGCACCTCGATTGATGACCTACGTCTCTCGGTGGATCGCTGAGGAATAGAGACCTCTAGAGAGCCAACAGTCACAGTAATGAAGGCTCCCACTCGGGTTCAGCCCCGCGGTGAGCTCTGCCTGCCAAGGATGCACAGCTGTTGGGTAGAGAGACCCGAGTCACCCGGGGAGGAGACGGCTCTGAAACACCTATTTTTGCCTGTCTTACAGAACACAGTCAGGAATGACTCAGAAGGAGCAGTCACATTTCTAAGTGGTACCGACTTTTTTCAGTAAAGAGCTGTGTGGGTGAGTGGTAGATGTTAGCATTCAGGGCTCCAAAAATGAGCAAGGTTTGCTTGTGCGAAGAATTTTGAACAAAGGAACCGGTTTTGCTTTTCGTTTGGAGACAGACGCCTATGATAGATTATGTACAGAAAAGATTATTTTGTCTCCGTGTTTGAAATTCAGAAACTTCAGGAAATTACTCAAGATTCGATAAACAAAAACAGTTACACAGGGGCAGCTAGGTGGCGCAGTGGATAGACCACCAGCCCTGGAGTCAGGAGGACCTGAGTTCAAATCCAGTCTCAGACCAAATACTTGACATTTACTAGCTGTGTGACCCTGGGCAAGTCACTTAACCCCAATTGCCTTGCAGAACAAAACAAAACAAAAAAACAGTTACACAGATCTGGTTGAGTTCTTTGTTGCCCAGAAGGTCTCTGACACGAGCCGTACGTCTCATCTACCCTAAGATACTGATATTATTCTGATGAAATGAGCAAGTTATCAGTTCCAAAAGAATCCATTTTCCCTTAGAAAGAGGTTGCCTTTTTATGATCTTAATGACTAACAGACTTAAGCCATCTCCTATGAAAATTGTATCACAGGTTGCAGAGCAGTGGCAGTAACTCGCGTCCACATTTTCCATTACTGATCATGGTAAGTCGTTTATTTCTCATCAAGAACGTGAGCAGCTGAAAGGAACCGAGTTAAAATAAGTGAATGGATGAGATGAGCACCAACTTGTGATGCCCCAAACTTGAATCCACCGTCAGAGTCAGTATCCCAGTTGGGACGGGCCTTGGGCTCTCTGGTTCCGTGTTTGTGGTGCTGACTTGGGGCCTGTGTTTGGAGGCCGTAATTACATAGGTAGCTTCAGTCTCTTTAA